GGTTTAGGGTGTAGAGATTAGGGGAACCGTTTTAGGGATTGGTAATTAGGGGGGTTGGTGTGTTTAGTTTGTTGTTTGATTTGTCGAGGCCCCACAGCGGAGGTAGAGCGGCCGTCTGCGAAGAGTTTGTGGACGTCCCAAACCCTAAACTCTACGCCCTAAACCCGCAACCGTGGCGTATATAAGGCCAGCCAAAGATCTCGACAAAGATCAACGGGTGCTTGTTTCCCGTAAGGGCGCATTAGGTGCAGGGTGTCGAGGTCAGGGATTAGGGATTCAGGATTTAGGGGGTCTAAACTATAGCTACTTGCGTTGTTCCATGCTGTGTTCCAGAGGGTTCCTTGCCAAAAAAGTCTTATAGCATACTCCAAAGCTTTTTTAACTATCAAGGCCCCTGCACCAGGGTTTAAATCCTAGACCCAAAATCCTAAACCCTAAACCCGAAACACTAAACCCTGCAAGACCTAAGCCCGAAGCCCAACATCCTGCAAACCCTGAACCCTCAACCCCAAGAGGCCTCTGAGTGTGATATAGAAGCCTCAATACCTACCAATACTATTCCTTAGGGTTCCTTCTTAAGGTTTAGGGTTTAGGGTTTAGGGTTAAACCCAAAACCCTAAACCCTAAACCCTAAGCCCTATAAACCCTATTCTAATTATTCAGGCCCCTACATTGGTTCTTCAGGGGGTGGAGGCTTTAGGGTTCGGGATCTACTTTAGGCTCGAGAGGATTGAAGGGGATTCAGGGTTTAGGGTTTAGGGCTTAGGATTCGGGGCGTAGGGCTTATAAGTTTAGGTTTTAATTTTAGGGTTTCGGATTCAGGGTTTAGGGTTTAGGGTTTAGGGCTTAGGGCTGTAGGTTCTACTGATGAAAGCACTAGGGTGCAGGGCTCGAACTTTGGTGTTTGGGCTTTGCATTTGTGGATCTGGGTGCGAAGCGACTGGGCGCCTAGGGACGAAGCAGGTCAGGTTCAGGAGTTTGTTCCTCTTTTTTTTAATGGCTAGCCCTACTAAACCCTAAACCCTAAACCCTAAACCCGAAACCCTAAACCGGCGGAGGGGGTAGGTGGGTGGGGCTGTTCTTTGTTTAGGGTTTGGACCCGGCTTGCTGGTGTTGAGCCAAAAGCCCTAAGCGCCACACTTCGCACATCCATACTCAAGGTTTAAACTGTAAGGGAGGCTCCAGGGTGTAGGGTTTGGGGTGTAGGG